GCGAATGGGGGAACGAAACACATACACACATATGTACATAGTAGTGGTCAAAAATATAGAAACACTTTGTGGAAATTTGAAAAATGTAGAAATATGTAACCAACATTATGGGTCGTCCGGATCGTACTCTAAAATGTCAACTTTTTGAAAAAAAAAAATAAAAGGAGTCTTAGTTTCTGTTTATCAATGAAGCTGCAACTTCGCTAATGAAATTATGAAAAATTATAGTTTTGGGAAATCCGTTAATACCAACAAACAACAATATCCAACATATTATTTCGAATTTGCAACACTGTATAATCATAAGCTTTTTTATGATTCCAAATATGCGAAATTATGTTGGCGAAATAATTGCAAAATAAGCGAAACGAAATTGTTCAATTTAAAAGATGTGCACAAATGTTTATTTTGCATAGGTAGCGATCGCCGAGATTTACAAAGTTTATGCTGGTAGACGGAAAGCTAAGCTTCTCCGTACCAGATGCGATAACGAAAAACGAACTTGACTTGCAGAGTTAGCGACAATAACTAGTACATATGTGGCGGCTGCGCAGCAGCCTATGCAAATTTATGGCAACAAAAGGAAACGTTAAGTGCTCGGCTTGCTATGCAAAGCAAGCGACAAGAAAACGAGCACTTTGCATTGAGTTATTTACGTTACTTATTAACTATGATGTGCTGCTGGTTTTGGCTGTTTTTGGCCGGATGACCAAACATACTCCCCCTGTTGAAGAACCAGGGTCTTCAACAACATCTTGTTTCGGCAGCGGGCATAATTTGCGAACGGCTCGCCGAATGGTTCCAGTGGAAGTCCTCAATTCTGCAACTCTCGACACGCCATCTGCGCCGCTGATGAGGATGACCACCCTTGCTAATGGCCATTTGAGGGGCGGCAAATTCTCGTCCTTGACCAGAACGACATCATCAATGGAGAGTCCAGGCTGCGACACTCGCCATTTTGAGCGCTGTTGAAGAAGCGTCAAGTATTCTTCACGCCAGCGAGCCCAAAATATCTGCTGGTAGTACGTCACGCGCTGCCATCGATCCAGCCGATTGAAATTGAGCTTCGTCAGATCAGGCTCAACGTACGTTGACAGCGGAGCAGCACCAAGAAAATGAGCTGGAGTCAAGACATCGAGATCTGCTGGATGTTCTGAAAGGGATAACGATGGGCGAGAATTAATAATTGCCCCGATATGGCATACAAGCGTGCGCAGTTCATCAAATTCGAGCAGCGATAGTCCAACGGATCTGTAGAAATGATGCTTGGCAGTCTTTACAGCCGCTTCCCATAGACCACCAAAGTGAGGCGAGCGCGGCGGAATGAAACGCCAATCAATACAGTCAGCAAGGCAAAATTCTTGCACAGCCTGCAGGTGCTCGCTGGATTCAAAAAGACGCTTTAGCTCAGCCATCTCGTTCCGTGCGCCAACGAAATTTGTAGCGTTGTTAGACCAGATCCTCGTAGGTCGACAGCGCGTCAAAATAAAGCGTTTAAGTGCATTTAAGAATGCTCCGGTGGTTAAATCCTTCACCAACTCCAAATGCACAGCTTTGGTGGCGAAGCAAATGAAAATGCAAATATAGCATTTTATTGGTGCCTTATTGCGGACCTCGCTTTTGTAGAAAAACGGCCCACAAAAATCCACACCAGTGACCATAAAGGTATGTGAAGCATCAACTCGATCCTTTGGCAGGTCAGCCATAACATGCTCCACAAGACGAGGCTTGGCTCGAAAACAAATGGTGCATTTGCTGACTACGCTGCACACTGTTTTCCGACCGCCAATTGGCCAATACTGCAACCGAATTGAGGCCAGCAATGCACGAGGTCCAGAATGCAGATTACGGACATGGTAGTGCATAATGACTGAACGCGTGACTGGATGACGCCTTGGAAGTATAATTGGATGCTGGGCTTCAAAGTCGAGCGCAGAGTTACTTAGACGGCCACCAACGCGCATCAATCCAGAGCTGTCGAGAAACGGAGATAAAGAAAGACAGGAGCTAGACGATTTCAAAATGTGTCCGGCCTGCAAGGTCTTGTATTCGTCCCGAAGCGTAGACATTTGAATTGAGCGCATCAACAGCAGTGTACCATGACGGATGCAGTCCACCGATAGCCCAGGAATTCGTACACGGTGCAGGAACTTGTATACATATGCAAACACGCGCTGCAGCTTTCCAAATGTGTTAACATATTTGCATTGCTGTGCAATGTCTTCGCACAGTGTGGTGCTTACAAACACTTTAGAGCGCTGCTCAGGAAGCGACGAGGCGGAAATGCAAGACTCTGGCCAAGAAGATTTGTCCTTCGTCAGAAATGCGGGACCATGTAGCCACAAGTTGGACTGGACTAATTCGCTGGGCAAAGCTCCACGTGAAAGTATGTCCGCAGGATTCAAATCGGTTGGAATATATCGCCATTCCATGCCAGAGGTCAACTCTTGAATAGTTGCGATGCGATTGGAAACGAAAATTTGAAACCTGGATGGCTCGCTGCGAATCCAAGATAGCGCTACTGCAGAATCAGACCAACAATAAAACTTGCAGTCGAATAACTCCATACGAGATATTTCGTTTATGAGTTGTGCCAGCAAAACGGCTTCGCACAACTCTAGTCGGGGCACGGTCAACGATTTGAGCGGCGCCACACGAGATCTGGAACACAGCAGCTCCGCACGAGATTGGCCTTGCGTGGTCGAAATGATGTACACGCAAGCTCCATAGGCATCTATGCTGGCATCACTAAAACCATGCACTTCAATGGAAACACCAACAGAAAGTGCAAGCCTTGGAAATTTCAGCTGCTTTGTGCGCTCAAAATCTGCAATAAGATTATGCCAAGATGTTGTCAATGATGCTGAAAGGCTTTCATCCCAATCAAGCCTTTCTCTCCAAAGCGCCTGCAGGAATATCTTAGCCTTTGCGATTACTGGTCCAATAAGGCCAAGCGGATCATAAAATCTGGCAATAGTTGACAAAACAGTGCGCTTGCAAATTCGACCAGATGTCAATGCTGGCAGAAACGTGAATATGAATAAATCCGTCGCAGGATCCCACGACAGTCCTAGAGTTTTTGTTATGTCGCTGCCATCATCAAACGTAACTAGAGTTTCTTTGTCTTCTTCCGGAACTTGTTTGAGCACATCAGGATTGCTGGAGCACCACTTCCTTAGCTTGAAATTAGCCTTGGCAAGTAGCCCTGTGGTTTGTCTCATAATTTCTATGACTTCCTTTGTAGAAGCACCACCAGTGATTAAATCATCAACATAAAAATCGCGGCGCAAGATATCGGAGCCAATAGGAAATAGCTCATGCTCATCTTCAGCCAGCTGATGCATAGTGCGAACGGAGAGAAACGAGGCAGGCTTTGTACCGTAAGTGACGGTATCAAGACGGAAAACTTGAATAGGCTTTTGAGGCGAGTCACGCCATAGAATGCATTGAAAATAGCTATCCGGATTTGATACTCGCACGCAGCGGTACATCTTGCAGATGTCTCCTGTTAAAGCGATAGGAAACGTGCGAAATCGAAGAAGCGTGTTTGCGAGCTTTGACTGAATGGAAGGACCAGCCATTAGGATGTCATTTAAAGAATGACCAGAGGATGTGGATGCGGAACCGTCAAACACGACTCTCAACTTTGTCGTTGTGCTGTCCTCCTTCAGAACGCAATGGTGCGGCAGGAAATACTTGCACAAATTTAGCGAAACTGGCGATACAAGCGACATATGACCCAACTCTAAATACTCCTTAATGAATGCAGAGTACTGTGCTTTGAGAAGTGGATTGCGTTCTAACTTTCGCTCCAAGTTTATGAACCGACGATAGGCTTGCGTATAGGAATCGCCAAGCAGATCTGTGCTGAACTTTACAGGCAACCGGACGGAATACTCGCCAGTACGCAGGCGCCTGTAATTAGCCTTGAAATGCTCCTCGCAGTCGAACTCTTCTTTTGTAAGTTTTACAGCCGGATCGACACCACTTTCGAGTTCCCAAAAAGAGCGAACCATCTGCTCGATTCGTGTATTGCAATCCTGTGTAGACGGAGACTTGGATGCAACCAAAGCAGATTTCTGACGCTGCGAGCCACCTCCAGTAACTATCCAGCCCAAACGAGTCTTTTGCAGAAGTGGCAGGCCATCAGCCAGTTTAATCTGACCTACGCACAACAACTCGTAGAATAAATTGGCACCGATAAGCATATCAATTTGCTGTGGCTTGAAGAACGCCGGATCAGCTAAGCGGACATTGCTTGGTATATCCCAATGAGATATGTCAACCGTGAAATTTGGTTGGTTCTCAGTAATGGAAGGAGCGACCAAAGCAGTAATATTTGCGGAATAGTCAGTGACCAATGATTGCAAGCATAAGTGCACAGTGCAACCATCAGACTTGAAACTGACGTCACCAAGACCAGACACAGAGGCCGACGACTTGGTCTTTCGAAGTTGGAGCCGGTGAGCGAATCGCGAAGTTATAATGTGCAACTGTGATCCGGAATCGAGCAATGCACGGCAGGGTACCCAAGTCCCGGCGCGATTTTGAATGCTGATGACAGCGGTGGCCAAGAGCACAACATCTGAGCCGAGATTTTGGGCAGGCAATGAAGCAAGCGATGATGGCGAAACAGCTGCGAGAGCGCTACGTGGCAGTAACAATGAAGACGGCCGCGAGTGTAAGTCAGAAGCGGACGATTGCTCAGGCATCAAATTTACGGCAGCTGAATTATTAAAATGCAATAAACTGTGATGTTTGGCACCACAGGTTCTGCACGATCCAGAATTGCAAGTTCTCATTCTGTGTCCCTTTCTAAGACAATTTATACACAGAGAGAGGCGTTTCGCTTCCTTTAAACGAAGTACAGGCGACAAATTACCAAAAAGTGGGCAACTGTATATTTCGTGTGCATTTATGTCACAAAACAGACAACCATTTGCGGATGGGTTAGTGGCGACAAACGAGCGTTTGGTGTTAGTGTTTTTGTTCTTTCCCACCTGATAATTCGACGAATATGATGCCATTGCATGCTCGATGTTTTCCAATTTTTGGCACCTGCTATCCAAGAACGTCGCAAATTGCTCCCACGACGGTATAACGTTTAATGGGGCGGCTTCCTCCCACTTTGCCTGCGTCGCAGCATCCACCTTGCCCAAAATTGTCTGAACGACGATGCTGCCAGCTACATCTTGCATATTGCCCAAACTCAACAGTGCACGCATATTTGCGTTGACTTTGTCGGACAACTCTCGCAGCTTGCTTGTAGTTTCAGCCTTTTTAATGCCCAAAATCTCGGAGATGTGTGCCTGGAAAATAAGACGCTTATTGTTAAACCGCTTGTCGAGTAGGTCTAACGCCACTGAATAATTTGCACCACTTATCTCAAGCGCACGAATCGTGTCCAACGCAGATCCTCTTAAGCTTGACCTCAAATGCTGCAACTTTTCCACATCGGAGAGATCTGGATCCTTGGCGATCACTGATGTGAACATCGAAGCGAAATCTGCATATTCAGTATATCCACCACTGAATGTAGGCAACTTAAGCTCAGGCAAACGAGACCGATTTATCACAATGGTAGACTGATCATCTTGCCGAAGCGTCGAACACGGCGGCGCGCCAGATTGCATCCTTTGTATTGCATTTAGCAGGCGGCCCTCCAAGCAGACCACCAGCTCAGCAAAGTTGCAGCGCAAACTGCTGCCAATCTCGTCAAAGTCCAGCTCCTCTAATTTGTCATGCACCAAATTAAAAGAGGCCTGAATACTTTGCAGCATTTCCACACGTTTTCGCAGCTCACTTTCTGAAATATTGTCAATTTCACAATCATTTATTTTATTTTGAATAGAAAGCGCCCACGCATATAATGATTGCGCCTTGCGCTTATAAAACTCAACACTATTGCTCGTAGCCTGCACTGCATTGCCCACAGCTGTTGACGTCGAAGCTGTTGGCGCAAGCGTCGCTGCATCAGCTACGTCAGCAGCAGCTGATGCGACAGCTTGGAAGGCGCGCATTTGACCGTCGCTCTCAGACATTATGAACGCGAGAGAGAACCGAAAACCGAAAATAGCAGAGATAAATGACGCGCGCGAATAACTGTTTTATCTGCTGATGTTCGTTGCCCTCAAAAATGTCGCTTCACACGGCTGCTTATTGGCGGTACAGTAGGCACTATGAACTTATACTTTTGCACTTATGTACTTGAATATTTTTTGTGTACAATGAACTCAATTATGTACGCTTTGTTTTTTAACGCGATTAAGCAAGGTTTTGTGGAATTATTAATCACGTCGGGGTCACCAAAATGTATAATCATAAGCTTTTTTATGATTCCAAATATGCGAAATTATGTTGGCGAAATAATTGCAAAATAAGCGAAACGAAATTGTTCAATTTAAAAGATGTGCACAAATGTTTATTTTGCATAGGTAGCGATCGCCGAGATTTACAAAGTTTATGCTGGTAGACGGAAAGCTAAGCTTCTCCGTACCAGATGCGATAACGAAAAACGAACTTGACTTGCAGAGTTAGCGACAATAACTAGTACATATGTGGCGGCTGCGCAGCAGCCTATGCAAATTTATGGCAACAAAAGGAAACGTTAAGTGCTCGGCTTGCTATGCAAAGCAAGCGACAAGAAAACGAGCACTTTGCATTGAGTTATTTACGTTACTTATTAACTATGATGTGCTGCTGGTTTTGGCTGTTTTTGGCCGGATGACCAAACAAACACAAAGAATAATCTACAAGTGGACTAGGCCAAACCGACCGTTGAAAAAGTTTTTGATTATGCGGAGGCTAGGCATTCAGCAACTAATCAGCGATTCGTGAAAACCCGAATATCTGTCAAACATATTTTCGAAAATTGTGTTTATAATATTTCTTCCGCCACTGTGTACACATTCCCATTGTAACTTAACTTGGCTGGATGACTTCATTAAACAGCACAAAGCGCACATTCACACGCACCTATACATACACATACATGCGAACACGCGCTGCAACACCATAAATATGCAAATAACTAATAATACAATTACAACTGCCATGCATGTAGCAGATAACTACAACAAAACGCGTTGACTGACGCTAACTGCCAGTCATTTGTCTATCTATGTATCTGCTTTTCCATTTTGCGCCCTGTTTCCAGCCTAGTGTCAAGACACAATGCAACAATGCCTTTGACGCAAGGCGCGCACGCCCACAAAGCCCCCACAATGGTCCATAATGGGGCGCACTTTGTGCAAGTTGGCAGCACTTTTTGTCTGCGTAGGCCCATTCCATTTGCAGACAACAATTGTTAAAACGTTAATGAATTTTTATTGTTTAAATTGAATTAAACTGCGTTTAATTAAAACCGAAGGAGGCACTATTTATTGCTACAGATGGATGTACACATGTATGTACATATGTACGAGTATGTATGTGATTTGAGTTGAATTGGCAAGCGCTGGCAAGATGAAGACTTCACTTAACTACCCAGTAGGACACCGCCATTCTTTTTCCTGCCAGAAATAGTTTTATGCAATTGTATATACGAGTACATGAATCTGTACATATGTATTGTAAAATTGCATGCAATTTATCGATCAATTTTGTATATACAAGCGTTTTACTGGGCACTTAAATTTGATTTTATGAACATGCATTTTAAGCTTAGTATATTAAAATAAATATATATTTTTGGGCAAAAACAAAAAATATTCTACAGTGCATCATCTTTTCTGCGCACAAATTTGTAATGTATTCAAAAATAAAATGTCTAAACATAGACAAGTTCTTGTTATTAAAAACAAATAAAAGTTGTTGTTAATCTATAGCTATGTATCCAACATTGTGTTCATAAAAATATTTACTTGAAGTATATGAAGAGGAAATTTAAATATTGTGGAATTACACTTATGTACGACTATTGAACTCTAGATTTATTCGTAAAATTTCGGCACAGTTTTTATCATACTGCAAAAAAATATTCCATTGAATAAGTCAATGTAATTCAAATAGACGCATATGCATTTAGGAAAGAAAACAACAATTGATAACAAAGCATTTTGTTGAGAACATTGAGCAAATGGGGCTTAATTTCGTTTATTTTCTCAAAGCGACAGACCTTTTTTCCAAGATAAGGTAAATGTAAACTTAAGCTGTATTCAACCCATTTTGCTTAACTTTTTTTACCTGTTGGTCAGTGACCAATACTAGAGCATATAAAATGAAAGACAGCTTCCTTTTCCGTTTCTTTGTGCGAACAAAAAGGGAACACCCGTGGGGACATTTTCCCTTTGCAAATCAGCATGACTCGTTGCGCAAAGATCTACTGGGTAGTTGTGGTTATTGTTGGGATGCTGCCGCTGCGAGAGACGTGCACATAAACACAACATCAACTAACTAACTAATACACACACGTTCATCCATTCGAACAAACAACATAACGTGCGTGCGGTCGCTGCTGATGCGTGAGGTTTTTGAACTCCAACGCTGGCAACGCCGGCTGTGGGAGTCCATATTTGTATGTATGTACATATGTATGTATGTATGGGGAGAGGGCAAATGTAGTTGTTGTTGCTGCTGGTGCTGTTGTTACTTTTTCGATTTTGCACGACGGCCGGAAAACGGAAGCGCCTGTTATGGCTTATATGTATGTTTATTGTCTGCTTTTCTGCTGGCTCTGCTTGTCATTTTCCATATTTGCCATTATGAATATGTATGCATGTTAGTTGTTTTGTTTTGTGGTTACCAAAGAGTTGTCAGTGTTGCCCTATGCATGTAATGGGCAAACCCCAAACAAAATTCTGACTGCTATAAAACGAAATGGGGCATTGCAATGAGAACGCGACTCGAGAGACGACAAAGGTGTCGCATTGTCATCGTCGTAGCTGCTGGTTGTTGTTGTTGCTGCTGCTGCAGAACGGCACGCATACATATGTCATTCATCACACACGTCGCGCCATTAAAGATCACTGACGCTGACAAAGTGCGTCCGGTTTCAGCGACGTTGCCATCAACATCTTTGTTGTTGTTGTTGCTGTCCAATGCAAATGTGCATGGGGAAGGCAAGAAATGAAACTGTTATGTTGCCACTGCCAGCGATAGTTGCTGCTGCCCGCCTTCTACAGCAACAGCAGCAACAACAAAAATATTATTGGCAATGTGCTATGGAAAAAGTTAAAGTTAAAAAAAAAAATTAAAAAGTTTCCCCTCTCGAAAATGCTTCAATAGAAATACACGTACAAGTATAGTATGTATGCGTTTATGTATATTTTTTGTTGTATGCAAAAGAAATGCACGCAGCTGCAATAACAACAAAAACTCAAACAGCAACAACAACGCTGCATTCAAACTTTTATGCAGCACATAAAAAAGAAGTGTGAAATAGAAAACACAAACACATAAACACACACACACACACACACACACACACACAGAAAACCAACGAAAGGCACGCACATAAAAATAAGAGAGAGAACGTTTCTCCAAAGGCATTTCGATTTGAAATTTCAGCGGAAATTTGAATTGAATTGCGTTGATTGATGCACAGCATGAGGCGTCAAGTGGCGACACCTACACACACATATGCACACGCACAAACACACTCGGGAGAGGAAACTTTTCGATCTGCTTTCAGTTTGTAAATTCAAACTGTTAAAAACAGTGCCGTTAAAAAAGTGTTCCTCTATGGCTAGGTAGGAATTTTGACATTAATTAAAACCACATTTTGCAAAGGATACTTTTTTTACGGTTTACAATCACATTGTAAAATATTATGTTTTTACCTATTTACATACTCATGACGGCTGATTCCCACCGACTACAATTTTCGTATTCATATGTTTTTCACGTTTAGTCATGCATGGTCATTATTTACAACTCACAAATGCCCAATAATTTGCATATAAACAAATATAAAAAGTAAGATACATAGAATGGAAAAAACTACTAAAAAGATTATATGAATGTATTTCAACAGTTTAACAGTCGATTATTCATGGGGTTTATGATGAGAATAAACAACTCATCCATAAACAGCGCTATTTTGAATTATA